TTTACAATGTGCAGAATCCAACAATATAACAATATGCAACACTTTTACGATTTCCGGTATTATTTTTGATCGTTTGAAGCATGTTGACTGTTCTTTCAAACATGCATATTTTTTAAGCGTATAGAGATTTTAATCAAAAGATATATCTTATCGTTTCAGTTTCTTGAGATTTTTTATTCAGTTTGAAAATATAAGTGAAATGGTAAATAGTTTTCGAATACTTTACGTTACGAATGGTTCGAATATTTTAATATCTATTAAAATCAACTTATATTAGAATTTGAAATTTGATATTATGTAGCTTAACGTGATGAAAAATAATTTTACGTAATAAAAATCCAATATTTTCGATTATTGTTTTATTAAAGAATAAATAATAATAAATGTTCCATTAAAATATTATTTTTAGATGAGTTTTTTTTAGTAAAAAAGAAAACCTACACAATAAGGTGCAAAACAATTTTGTTTTCTATAACGAATAATTTCAAATAATCAAATAAATGTTAAGAAAATCTAACACTGAAGTGATTGCCCTAACTTCTGACTCGAAGCTATGATTTCAAGTTAATGAGTACCCTACCTAAAGCCGAGTTTCAGATAATGGCAAAAAAAAAGCTTTTTTTAATGAAAACATTTAGCTTAAAGGAGTTTAAAGAAATATTTAGCTAAAGTAAAATCATAAACGCGATAAAAAATTCCAATTACTTATTACTTAAATCTAATATTTTTCAATTATTATTAATTGTTGAATAAAATAATTATTAGTTTTTAACTATTATAAAACTGTCCGAAAGTTTTCTCACATTTCTTACGATTTTTTTTTTGTTGTAATCAAAAATTCTGACTAACAAGGATAAAAGCAATTACAATTTTACATAGAAAATTGCTTTGTGAAATTTTGCAACCAGAAAAATAATCTTACGATATTATTTCTTAAGAAACAAAACTGTATCAAATATTGACCCATGTATTTACCTCTTTAACGCAGAATTTTTTTAAACATATTTTTAAACTTTTTCTCTTTATTTTATATTAATTTAGGTCTAAATAAGTCAAAAATACGACAATTTATTTTTTTCATTTCATATTTAATGTCATATTTATTAAGAAATACAGCCGGAAATACCGGTGTCTTTTTCTGCGTTAAAAGCAAATTCTTTCGAATACGACTCACTTAAAAACAATAATTTTTCAAATATGCAGTTTTTTAGATCTAAGAAAAACAGTTATTCAACATTGAACTTTCTTTAATTTACAAAATGAATTATTGATACATTTTTGAATATGAATAAAAAAAAATTTTTTTCAAGCAACTTTTTTTGTATTTTATATTTTAGTACAAATAAAATTCCGATACTCTAATAGATATTTTTAATAGCTATTAAATTGTTTTTATAATTAAAAGTATCAAAAAATATTTTTGCATGTAATTAGAATGTCAGAAAAAACATGTAAAAAGGACATCGGTCTCCCATGTGCGTCAAAGGGTTAAAAGCTGAAACTAAAGAGAATATTCTAAAAGCACTATTTGATAATTGGACCCATAGGTATCTATTTATGCATTTCTTTTTATGGCAGCTATTTTCTCCTGTCTTGAAAGAAGCTATTCATGGGAAATTATATTTGTCAACATTATATCTTGTTGGGCGAAAATGTAAAATACGTTGGCATTTAACAACTTCTCACTGTAGTTCTCAGACTTCATCTTATCAGCTTAAATGAAGTTGGCATGTTGTCAGCTATCCATCACTTCAACTGATTTGGGATAACTTGTTTCAAACCGTGAAATTAAGGAGATGACTTGAATGATTTCGCAATTTCTGTTTGACTTGTAAATGAAATTCGTTGGTCTTTCGGTTTGTTTAAATGAAAACTGACAAAGACTTGAAAACTGACAAAAGACTTGAAAACTGACAAAGAAAAATTTGCAAGTAGGGGAGAGTGGGGTCAATTGTAACAGGGTACGATTGTAATAGAGCAAAAATTTCGAGTGTCGTGTTCTAGATTTGGTTCCTAGGTGGCGCACAAGGTGTATTTAATAAATCTACATGTACACCCCTGCTGGCAACCATTTTTATGTACTTTTGAAAGAGTTACATCACAAAAGATATTTTCACGCTACGTAAGTACTTTTTTTGGTATTAGAATATTATATTGTAACAAAGTAATTTTGTTTAAACAAATAAAAATTATTAACCGAATATGTAAGTGGACACCTTAATTAACATTTAAAAAAAAAAAGATTAGTTTTGTTAATTAACTAGCATTGTTTTTAACAAATGAAGCTGAAATGGCGTCTTGGGGACGATTGTAACAATAAGTAAAGGGACGATTGTAACAGCTGAAAATAAATAATCTTATGTTTACAAACCATTACTTAACTCTTTAAGAACCACCAATAGTTTCCTATATCATTTATATTATGTTGCATGTGCATTATTTTATTTGTCACCTTTCACAGCATAAATTAAAATTTTTAACCCCTTAAAGTTAAAAGTTTAACCCTTTAGGTCTCTGCTCATTATTATTTTTACTCCTAAAATATCACTACTATTTTGATCAATAAAAAAATATATCACAACTATGATAATATGTATAATTAACTATGTTTTAGTTGAATTTATGAACTGTTACAATTGACCCCGTAAGTGGGGACAATTGTAACAAGTGCACGACTGTCAAAAATTGTTAATAACTAATATAATAACATTTAAAATCAGGTATTTATTTTTTTTTCTAGTAGAGGATAGTCTACTTTACTCGTCTGTCAATTAATACTAATAATATATTGGATTTTTTGTTAGTTAAAAATAGTTAAGTAAAAAATGTTGCAATTGACCCCACTCTCCCCTGCTAATTTTAAATTCATAAGAAAAATCTATTTGAAATAGAAGAATTCTTGAAAGCTCGGTAGTTTGGATTCAATTCTCGGGAACATTTCTACACTCCCCTCAGCCATCGACGTTTGAGCCCAGCATCTGAATTTATTTGTTTTACTGAGAAAGAAAACAAAGATTAGATCATCAGAGTTTATTTTTACCTTTGACGACTTCGTGGATCCTTTTTAAAAGCAAGAAAATATTTAAATAATTTTCTTCGTTTGAAAACCATTTTTTGTTGTTTTTTCGTGCGGATATTTCATCAAATTGAGGAAACAACTGCCTTCTCTTTTTCAGGGGATGACAGGAAGACTGACTTCGAAAAAATCTGCAAGCGCTAATTGAAAATTCTCAGAATAAATCTGTTTGAAATAGAACAATTCCTGAAATCGCGGTAGTTCGTATTCGATTCTCGGGAACATTTCTACATAACATAAGTATTCGCAATCTTTCTTCATTGCAAAGGGCTAAAAAAGGAATTTTTTTTGTGAACAAAGAGAGAAACTTTCTCTCCGATTTCTGCAGTGGAACCTTTATTAACTTTCGCCATTTTCATTTTTTGTTCGACGTTTGAGCATAGTATCTTTATTTATTTGCTGACTAAATAAGAATCCTGAGATTAGACTATCAGATTTTATTTTTACTGTTGATAATTATTTGGATGCTTTTCAAAACCAAGAAAATATTTAAGAAATAATTTTCGTTTTATTGAAACCGATTATTGATTTATTTCATCAAATTAAGGAAAAAGTTTCTCTTTCTTAGAGGATTCTCATAATGCACATCAATAACGCATGAGTAAATAAGCAGTTATGCATTTTTAAGAAATTTCGTTCAGTTAAAAAATCATGAAAATTTGTAAGAAAACAGTTATTTAAAAAAAACGAGAGATAGAACTTAAAGGTGACTTAATGTTCAAAAATGGCTTTTGAGAATATAAGAACGAAGTCTTATTCTAATCTAATCGAATGAAATCTAATCTTTGTTCTGAAATCTTTAGTTATTAAATACAACATTTCAACTATATCGGTCGAATAGCTCTGGAGAAATGAATGAATTTAATAAATGAGTTTTTCAAAATTTGATTACTCAGAAACTATTCAATAGATTACGCTCCCATTTTATATTTTTCCATTTAAAACTGCACTTTTTAAAATTAAGTAAAAATTTGTATGTGTTACATCAGATTCATAGTGATCACTCTCTTTGTTCACTCCAAATGCTAATTACATTAGACAATTATTTAGATAGATTGATTAAATGAGCAATAAACTAGCAGCTACTTGTTGATTGGAATGAGTAATTATTTAATTCGATAATTACATAACTAAATGAATAATTCAGCTCTTAGTAAACAGTAATCGTCTTGAGGAAATCTGTTAGAGCAGGTGGAAAAGTCTTCAGCATTTTTAGTTAGTCCGCCACTTTTAAAGGTTATCAAAACGGTCCCAGATACTTTTAGGTCAATTATAAATTAGATCATTCTTTACTCAATTATAGGCTCATGCAAATATCTTCTTCAAAGGTTTAGTGCAATTAGCCTAAGAAAACTCAATCGAATTGCTACGTTATTCTTTGCAATTTCTGAATTAGCCTAAATTTATGTGAGTTGAATATAGAAAAAGAAACTTAAAAACATCAGGCAGCTTAAACTTTTCTAATAATTCAACTCTTTTCAAACATTAGTCGTCCTTTTGCATTGAGTCAGAGTAGTTGGAAAAGTCTTCTAGTTAGTCCACCACTTTTAAGGCTTATGAAACCGAGTCCAAATAAATTTAGGCTAATTAAAAATTAGATCGCTCTTTCCTAAATTATAGGCTTATTGTAAAAAAGCCTTATTGTAAATATCTTCATTTTGTGCTGTAAATATCTTCAGGGTTTATTGCAATAAGCTTAAGCAAATTCAATCTGATTGCAATTTCCTAGTTAGCATATCTGCATGTGAGCCGATTGTAAAAAGCCTTAAAATGTCAGTAAGATGAGAATTTTCCGATTAGTCTGTCTTATTGCAAAATAAGTGTGATATTTACAAAGAATGTTTTTGTTTTTCTCAAACTATCCCTTCGTAACATATGTAATTTTTTTACAGTTAGTTTTGTTATGTTAAATTGTGCAGCTTACTTGATTAACTATGGCATCTTTTTCTTTATATTTTTCTATTTTATAATCTAAAAACTCAGCATCCGCTTGACTCTTAGGAGTTGGGAAAAATCCTCCTATAGGAGTAGGATCTAGGATTGGAGTAGTTGGCAGTGGAGAAAAGCAGTAGGTTTTAGCTGGTGTTGGTGTCGTCCTTGCTGGCTGTGGAGTGTACCTCGGTGGGGACATCGGCTGAAACATCGGTGCTGCTTTCGGAAGCGTTCGGGACGATTCGGTTTCTCGCAAAAGCTTCGCATACGGATGCATTCCGTCGACTGTGGGCAAAGGACTTATCGGTGTCGTCGGTGTTTGTGGTGCTCCAGGTAACCTGTAACAAATATATTTATTTCAAAAAAATACAACTCTTATTAATTTCTATCATAAGTAAATAAGGTTAATGTGAGAATGAAAATGTGATATAGTTGGAAACAAAAAAGTTTAATAATTATTTTAGATACGCTGTAAGACTTTTCATTCTAAAATTAAGGTAAAATAGTCGAAAGCAGCCCGTCTATCCAATTAACTGTAAAGTTTAGCGAAAAGAACAGTTTTTTCCTTTACGGTTTTAAAACTGATTAGAACTAGTATAGTTTTAAAAAAAACATGGATTCGATTACTATATATTTCTTTTAACCATTTACAGCTAGTATGTTTTTAAAACCATAGAAAAGAAATTTAATTGGACGTAAGAGCAAGGCTTTTCGTTTGGTAATGGGCATTGGAGTAGGTTGAGTTGTGATTTAGCAAATGAACTGTGGAACGGGGTTTGATTTATTTATATGGCTGTTTCACCTAGTGTAAGAGATGGGAAATACTAGGCTTTATGCAACTGCCATACATGCGTGAAAGAGAGTATCGTGTTCTAATAGTTCAGAGTCATAAATTGGGGAATGCAGGACAGTGTAAACTCTTCATGTGTTGAAGAAAGTGGAGGAACTATTGTGGTGTCAACGAACCCTTGTGACTCGAACTCTGTTATAGCGATCATAAGATTGACGGATTTACTCTCTCGGTTAAAATATGTACCCAACTGCAACAAACTAAGTGACTTCATTAAGTGGGTCTAGTTGGTGCTATAAAATTCTGATTGTTTAACCTTATTGGGCGAAAGTAGATAAGAAACGGTTTGTCTCATAGTTAATAGTTTGAATACCATCTTATTTATGGTTATTCGATTATTTTGCCTGAATATGGTAAAATAACAATAAAAAAAATTGTTATTTAACCATTTCTTCCGAGATTTCTAGCATTATATACTGATAGGATCTTTACCTATTTTGTTACAATCTTCATGATATAAGGTTCCTTGAAACACACTAATCAATTAACAACTAACTATTACTAATCATACTGTGAGAAGTCTTTCATCTGCGAGAATTAACATCCTGGTAATTTCCAGCTTGTATTTTTTATTCATCGAAATAATCTTCGTGAGCGTAATTTATATATTTCTAATGATGAATTCATCATTAATTTCTGTTAATTTTTATTTCACTAATTACATATTTCAAGTAATAATTAACTTAGTAAAAGAAGAAACTGCACAAATGTTGATTAGTAAATGCGAAATAACAAGACCTCATAGAGCACGCTCAATTGTGGTACAATTATGTATTTTTCTTTTTAAATTTTGAGATCTGAATTTATGGACGAATGGTCAAATATGTTACAATGATGGCAATTTTGATCCATAATAGTTATGAACCAGTTTAAAATTAACATGACGGTAGGACGAACGCTTCTTAATATTATGCTTAATATTACGCTTCTTAAGCTTACTTACACAATTCTATGGTTATACTTGTAACAATTGTGCATTTTTCTTTTTAAATTTTTAGATCTGAATTTATGAACAGTTGGTAAAATATGTTACAATGTTGGCAATTTTGATCCATAATAGTTATGAACTAGTTTAAAATTAATATGATGGCTGGACGAACCTAGGATTGGATTGGAATATTATGCTTCTTAAACTTGCTTACACAATTCTATGATTATACTAGAACGTAAACGTATTTCAGTTTACAACATTATTCAGGTTGCAGTAATAAAAAATAAGTATTATGGTTCAAAGTTAAGTCGAGGCTTTTTAATGAATTGAGTGCTAAGCTGCGTATGGAGGTATAAAAGAGAGCATGAAAGTTCCTTTCTAAAAATTAACTGTTTTGCTCAGATTTCTTTTATATTTTCTTTAATCGCGTACTTGCAACTCGAAAAAAAGGGAAGCCTATTAATTGTATACGACATCATGCGTGTGTATTGAACCTGATTGGGGCCTGAATCGACAAATGCCACGATTTACCTACGATGACATCACTTTGCAGGTATCCAATTCTACAAGTTTACGGAATAAGAGCGCTATTCTTATGAAATACAATTGATCAAGATCACAAAAAGACATGTCCGACCTTCTAATGAGGAGCTGCAATCGAACGCCAGCAGCTTTAATGATGTCGTGGGCTTCCATGTGAGTCAAGTCCGCAGTGTCTCTGCCTTGGACTTGAAGAATGGTGTCCCCTCGTTGAAGTTCCCCATCCGATGGACTACCCATAAACACCTAGAGAACAATAAAAATAAAGAGATTTAAATGCAATATTCCAAATTGAACTTAAAATTACCTGCTATCAGACTGTACTATCTACTTATCTGTCAGCTTGTTATTATTTCATGTCAATATAATGTGACAGCGTACAAGAAAATAAAATATGTAACGCTGAGCCATATAACGCTTTTGATTGCAGCATTTTTTTAAAAAAAATATAAAAAAGCACATGTACATATTTTTAGAATTTGTTCTAACAATATTACACCGAGAGAAAAGCGGAATTAAAATTACTAAAATATGGTAAAATTTACCGTGTTTCGGGATTTATGAGAAGACCAAAATGCTCGATATTTTTACCGAAATGCTTCGGTAATGATTTTGGTAAAATTAACAATAAAATATAGTTTTATAATATGTGATAAAATTTTACAAATGTGGTAAAACTTGGTAATTTTATCATAATACCTTAGAGCATGACATAAAAACCTGTTTTTCGGCTACATTTTCTTTTCAGTCGTGAAACTTTTACTGAAGGAGTGGTAATTAAAACTATAATTTTGATAACCAGTATTTGCAATAATCCAATATCATACGGGTAAGGGATCATCATTATCATATTAAGGGAATTATCATATTAAGGGATTATCATATTAAGGGATTATCATGTAAGGAATTATCATATTAAGGGAATAATCATTAAATGAATAGTTTAAATACAGTATATTTTGGTTTTTATTACCAGAATGTTTCTTTACTAGAAATATCAATATCATATGATAATACAATATGTTAATTTTACCGGAATTATTTTCCCCGTGTACATTTTATTAAATTCGTGGCATCTCATTCCTCTCATTCAATGATAATTTTTTAAAAAAAAAATGTTAAATTTATGAACTCTAAAGTTGAAATCTGAAAGAAAAAAACAGGATGAAGAAGCAACATACTATCGATGAAATTTATTTATGATAAAAACGTTGATAAAATTAAGTTTCCTTATTTTTTCTTTCATAATATTTTTATGAAAAATAAAATATAGTTACTAATGTTTTATTTTAAGCTAAATATTAAGCAATTTAATGTTTAATAATCATAGAGTTAAATATAGAGTTTAAGCATTAAGCATTAATTTTAACGATGAAAACTCCAACTATATAGATATATCTCTGTACATCATCTTCTCAACCACAAATAATTTTAGTTTTAACTGATTTAAACAGTATAACTTCGGAGATTATGCCTTTTAACAACCAATTTACATTTGCCAGGTTATCAGAAAACGAAAATTTAGTCTGACGCATAGCGCATATTTTATCACTGCAGCGGTGCATTTACACATGCATGAGTTAGGGTTTCCTAACCGTCAGGTTAACTGTGGGAGATTTTCGTGGTTTTCCTCTCCATGTAACGCAAATGCGGGTTGATTTCATCAAAAAGTCCTCCACGAAGGCAAATTTCTCCCAATACTTGATCCAGATGTTCCTTTGTTCTCTGGATTGAGTTCAAAATTACAAGCCTACAGAGTTGAACATTGGTGCTCGTGAACATTGGGTTAGCTGTTCAACGTCGGTAATTAAATAAATAAAAAAAATAGTGTATGTTGAGCCGTGATGGCTCAGGAGATAAAGAGCTCGCTTCCCTATGAAGTGTTCCAGGTTCGAATCCTAGAGATGGCTGGTCGATACGAATTCCTCGCCTGGCTTGTACCGACTGCACACCGCTGTTCTGACGTAAAATTTCCTCAGTGGGAGGCGGATCATGGGTTAGAGTCCCCTTGCCGTCTGGCTAACCGCGGGAGGTTTTCCTCTCCATGTAAAGCAAATCCGGGCCATTTTCAACGAGGGCAAATTCCTCCCAATGCTTGATCCAAAAGTTCCCTTGTCTTCTCAATTGGGTTCAAAATTACAAGGTTATTGAGTTGAACAATGGTAGTCCTAAACTCAGAATTCCGTCTGCTGTTCCACGCCAGTCATAAGATAAAATAAAAAAATGATATATGTTAGACAAAAGTTTAGTAAAAACAAAATTGTTGCCATCAAAGTTTTAAAGAAAGTTCAATCATATATATTAGATAAACTAATAAACCATAATAATAAACACTAGTAAGTATCACTCACTGTACTTTCTTTGTCACTCTAAATTTTTATGCTGCTACTTTTTTTCCATTCTATAATTTAAGTAAAAATATTATTCAATGAAAAAAAGTTATTGAAAAAATGTCATCCTTGTTTCCATCAAAACTCTTTTTTTTTTTTTTTAAAAAAAAGAAAAAAAAAGAAGATATATTTCCCTTAGTTGACTGATTTAATTTTAAATGGTAAGTTTTAGCAGTTAAATATATGCAAAACCTGAAATTCAAATTTAAGTATGCTTTTATACCAATAATTTTAATATTCAATAGTTACCCTACGTACAGTTTTTAATATACCAAAACACCCTTATATCACACTGTTAAAGCTAGTAATTCAAGTAACATATAAAAATTTTTCAATATTCAAAGCAATAGTTTCATAACGTGATTTTTATCAAAACTAATACGACACATGAATTCCGATTCAAATACAAAAGTTAAAAAATGAAAGAAATTTACACGTATTTTATACAAAATTTTTACATGAATTAAGTATTAAAAATAGAATAAAAATAAATTTTATTTAATCTGAAAGTAATAATGCAATTTAATCAGACTTCAGTGAGGCTTTCAAATTGCAGGGTTTTAAGCAGACAATAATATAATGCTTGTCCTGAATAGTTTTCTAAATAGTTTTTTTTAATAATTTATACTTACGTAACAAATGAAAAATAAAAATAAAACTATATTTTTCTGGTAAATTGTAATTGTGTAGAAAATATTTTCTTTCATAGAAAAAATATGTTGTATGTATGTTGTTTGATAAAAAAGACCAAAATAGAAAAGATACCCGTCTCTGATAGGGATGAAAAAACTCTAAAGACCTTAAGCTCTTTTTTTTAATACTTATAATAATCGTTTTCAGATTTCGTTTCTAAAATTCTCTTCTTCGTAAAAAGCAAATCTTTTAAGGCCGAATACAAAGTAAAGTGCTAGTTTTGAAAAAGTATTTTAAAGAAAAACATATTTTTTTTGCCGTTTCTAGACGCGAATATAAAATGTTCTTCTTCTTTTTTAAATTTAAAAGATATTTATCAAAGTAATATTTTAGTTCACAGTTATTTACTTAAAAATAAACAGTTATGATTAAAATACGAGTAAAATTTCAACAGGAAATGTTTCAATATTAATATTGAAAACAGATAAATTTGATCAACTCTTATTTCTATGCTTTTTTTGCAAAGAGTTTGCTATTAAACATTCTCTGTGATATAAATAATATAACTATAGTTCGTTTATTTCAAAATTTAATGTTTTTTTAAATAATATTGCAATAAATTATAGAAATTTTATTTTACGCTTATGGTAATGGATGAAAACGATTTTTACACAAATTTAAATTTAGCGGAAAATAAAATATTTTTATTTAAATTAATTTTTAGCACGGTGATTAAAAAATCTAGTAAAATTATCGTACTGTATGGTAACCGTATTTCTGGTAAAAAAAGTTCCTATAATTCTGATTAACAAGACCAAAATGTACGGTATTTAAATTATTCATTTGGTAATTTTTCCGTGCTCATGGTAACGGTTTACCAAAAATTCTGGTTTTCAAAATGATAGTTCTTATTACAGAATATTTAGTAAAAAATGTATGACTAAAAAGTAAATTTGACAGAATAAATGGTTTTCATTAATATTTTGGGAACTTTTTGTACAAATTTTTTGAAAGGTGTTCCTTGATGGGTTTTTGCCTGGAAGATATTGAAAGTTGCAGTTTGAGATTCTTAAAGAGATTAAGTGTATTGAAAAGCATTAGAATGCCAAAGCATTATTTTTAAATTGTACAGATTGAATCCTGAATAGAATAACCTAGTCTTCAATATGAGATTTAAAAAAATAATACATTAAGCGGATTTTAAAAAAGTAATTATACTTTCTAGCAAGTGTGACATTTTATGAGATTTTCATATTAATGAAAATCATTAAAATTATTAAATAATTTCCAATTGTTTTTGTTGAAAAACTGCTGCAGCTTTGAATAAAGGTTTTTCAAAAATATAAATTTAAATTACATGAATAACACTTTATTTTTGTTTTATTTTTTATTGATATTTTGCGAATAAAAACGAAGAAGAGACCGTATGTTCTTGAGTTATAAAACTAAATTAATTAATCAAAGATTATTAAATTTATTTTTAAAAAGACTAAACACTTTTTTCTAAAATATTGCATTTTTAAAAATATACTCAAAACATATTTAATTGAAATTTAATATTACTTGCTTAATAAATATTTAACATAAGTAAATCATATTAACATTAGTTGTTAAGTACTTGTTTAGTAAAAAAGTAACTTTACGTTCATATAAATAGCAAAAACAAAAATAAAGATATTTTATTTCTGAAAAAAAAGGGAGAAAAATTATTGCTGAAGTCAACCTTCTCAATTCTCATAGTTGGCAAAAAAAAATTTATAAAAATATGCTGAGTATTATTTTATTGCACGATTTTAGAACACCATTTTTCAAAAAGAACAACTGTTTTAACGTAAATAACGTTCCAGTTTATTTTTATCTCCTCGTCTAGTCACTTTAAAAACGAAGATTTAAAATAAACTACGAAACGGGAATTTTTTCTTTCAATTCGGGAGAAGTAGAACGGAAGCATAACTGAAAACTTAAACGTAAACCGTATTATGTATTTATAGTTTTCTTAATATTTAAAAAAGTCGTGAAGTTTAAAATTTCTTGCTTTTTATTTATTTATAAACCTCTCATTAAAGTCTAGCATTGACATCTATAAACATGTTGATTTCGAATTATTTCGGAGCATTATTGGTCTTAATTAACAAAATAATTATTCAAATCATATATATAATTATTAGCATTTTTGAATTCCAATCTTCAATACATATTTTTATCATCTATTGCATTATTTTGTATGTTCAGCTTGGGTAGTAAATTTTTATACAAAAATAAAACTCCTAAATCTTGTGTGAAATGTATCATAATTTTTGGCCATTTAAAAAAAGCAGAGTAAAAAAAAATTCACCCAAAAGTGAACATCACAAAAACTGAATTTCAGTCAAGAAACATGTGTTTTTATATATTTTTTAGAACTTTTAGCTGCAAAAAAATTTCGGTAAAATATATTAGTTTCTAAATATATAAATCGTAAAAGCACAATAGCTCTGAATTTCAGTTCATATAGATTTTATCGTCATTGTTGCTTTAGTTTGTTTCAAGAGCACAAATTTTTTTTCAAAAATATGGTTATATTTTACCACTGTGCCATCGTTACAAGCAACAAATGCAAAATTACAATTATTGAACAATGGTTTAATAAAACAGATACGTGGTTAAAATTTATCAAGAGATCAAAAGGCTATGATTGATGAGGAGAGTTAGAAAAAATTGTAAAAATTGGCAATGATCATTTACATCAAGAAAATTTTTTTAATTATTGTTAATGTATATTTTAGTCTTAACTTCTATAGCATGTTATTTGTCACAAAAAAAAAAACAAAAAAAATACTTTTTTAAATTTTTAAATGGAATGCTATGTTAACCCTAATTTTTTTACACTTACTTTACGTTTTAAACTTTACATTTTTGAACTTAAAATCTAATATTTTTTTTTAATTTTACGCAGTTTTAAAAAATAAAATTTACGTTTTTTTGACACATATAATAAATTTAGGATCTTTTTGAGTGACATAATTTTTTTTTTGACTGAAAACTTTTTGTTATATATATGACCACAGTGGCAACTTTTTAAAGAACAAAAACTTCGAATTTGGATTAAAAAGTTTACCTTTTCTTACTATTATCTCCGTAAAAAAACATATATATAAATACTCTATTATCTACAAAAGAAATGTATAAATAGCTCATTATCTACGTTGCTTAAATACCCTATTATCTACACAAAATATATAAATACCTTATAATCTAAATGTATAAATACCCTATTATCTGCGTGAAAAAACTTATAAATGCACTATTACCTTAAAAAAAATGTATAAATACCCCATCATCTACTTAAAAAAATGTTTACGGAAGTAAATTTAATTTTGAGCCTCCTATTTTAGAATCTCTTTAAAGAAAGAGAAAATAGACCAGCTGTCTGACAATGTTAGTCATTGCCAATTACACAGTTCTCCATTTATTTACTTTTGCTTAATGAATTAGGTAATACGATTTTTCTCTTTCGCATCTTAAAATATCCTTAGCTTTTCCAAGTGTTTTGTTGCTAACTAGTTCTTCCATTTCCAACTTAAAATGTATGCACTTACAATGGAATTTTGAATGCTGAATTCTTCAAAAGAAATTTTTTTTACAGAAAGGGAACATCTATTTAGTAATTGGAAAATCTATTATTTTTTTAACAAAATTATTAAAACAACTTTTTGATATAAGATAAATCTGTGACAAAGTGCAAAACCAACCAATTTTAATGTTTGACCAAAATTTGTGCCATTGTTTAAAAACAATTTTATTTTAAATTAGCACACTGAGAAAAAAGTATAGTCAAGGCTACTGGAATATGATAAAATTTACAATGCTTTTATGGAAACACTTTTATGCAAACAATTTAGGCTTTATGGAAACACTAAAATAATCGGTAATTTTTATCGAAGCATTCTGGTAATGATTTTCGTAAAATTAACAATAAAAAATGTTTTTTTATTATATGCGATAATATTTGGTAAATGAGGTAAAATTTGGTAATTTTCTCATGATACTTTAGAGCATGGTTAATTAGCTTCTTTTATTCGGTTAAAATTACTTTTCAGTTTCAGTTTTTTACTAAATGTGGGACAATTAGAATTATAATGTTAAAAATCAAAATTTTCTTTAAACCATTTTCTCTTCGTATGAAAATATTTATCAAATTAATGGTTTAAAAACAATATGTCTTGACTTTCATTACTGGAAACATGTTTTTTTACCATTAGTGTCATTACGATAAAGTAAGGTTATTTTACCAGATTATTCTTCTCCGCTCAGGAAAAACAAAGTATAAACCTTAACATTATCTCTATGGAAGGAAAAGAATTTTTTTTTCGAACCATTACCTTACCTTAAATGCGAAACTGCTAACGCAATTAGGCATATGGCGCAGTTGAACCATAATATCACTCACGTTTGCTGAACCATGTCCACATTACTTTTTACGAAATTGATCCATGTTATCGTACTTAATAAATTTAAGTACTTTATACTATGGTTTATTTAGCAACTTATTTTATAAAGGCTTAAGAAAGTTTGCACTATTTTATCGTTCAAAATACCTACACTGTAGAAAATTTCGCGTCAAATTACGGTAGAAAGTAACAGCACTTTGGGTGCATCATCTATAAAATCTATTTTTGCCTTTAAATATTGTTAAATGTTAATAAAGTTATTTAATTTATATTTATATAATTAGAGGAATTCAGTTATTTTACGGTTATTATTGCTGTGAAAATTATAGTATATCCGATTTTTTGTTCCGTAACATGTTCCAGTAAAAATTGAGATTTACGGAAAAAAGTACCATCACCAAGCATTTTTTACATTAACTTGGTCCGGAATTTTTTTACAGAATACATTATTGTTCAACTGACTATAATAAACTATTTTTTTAGAATTTTAATAACTAAAATTACAATATTTTTACTGTAAGATGATTTTTCTTACGTTAAGAATGTTTGCAAGCATTTTTATTGAAAAGTGAAAAAAAAATTGCATTTTGCAAAAATTTTTTAAAAAAGAAATTAACCATTTACCGAATAAAATCGTGAATTCTCTTTCATCTTTCGCAAATTTTATTCCGCAATAACTCAGCTGACAGTTTTAGTTATGTGTATGCAGTTTTAATTGTGTTTAATTTTAAGCGACCATACCATTTTTACCATAATTCGCTTTAAATCATAATTTTAAATGATAAAATCCAAACTTATAAAAATATTGATTGAATAATCTTCGAAAAATTAAAATTTAAAAATATGTTGTTTTTTTAAATTTTATAACTTATGAATTATTAAATCTATTTCATTCAAAACTTGGATTTTATCATTTAAATTTTATCGCATAAAATCGCGTTAAAATTGGTATACATAACAATTAAAAAAATTGTCAAACTTTTGCTGAATTAATAAAATAGTAATAAATAATAAATATTGAAAATTATTTTTATATTGAAATTATATTTGGACAAGTAACTTTGAAAATTGTGTTCAAAGATTTTTTTTCCCATTAAGAGACACTGCGAATTACTCAAAAGAAGAAAATTAATATTAAGCAACACAACCGTCCGACTTCTCTTCTAACTTAACAATTAACATCATGTTTTTCTGATTGTGACAATTTTTCATATTTCAATAGTAAAGAATCCAAATCAATCGACAAAAATTTAATAAATATTAAGAAAATAATAATAATAAATTAATAATAAAAAATTAATGATAAAAACTAGCAATAAAAAATTAATAAAAATTTAATAAATTAATAAATATATGCATTAATAAATATAATAATAAAACATTCAAAGACTGTACGCTTCTGTGTCTGATTCCATATTCAATAGTTAACTCTCATTAATTAACATAACTGAGATCAACTATATAAATTATATAGTATATAATTATATAGTATATAATTATATACTATATAACTAAATAAATATAGTCATTTAGTGCCCGAAAATTCGATTCTTAGAGCAAAAGTTATTCAGAGTGATATTTAAATCACTGAATCAGAATGACATTGTATTTGTTAGATATAGTATAGCAGACAATTTGAAGTGCATGGAGGGTATACCTCTAGGTATTTAAATTTGTGGTATTTAAAAATGGAAACTTATGTGAAACTTTCGGCACAAAGTAATTATAAAATTTAGTTGTTATATGAAATCGATAAACTGCTCATTCCTGAAATATTAAAAACATATTCACAAAATATTACATTTCTTCAACCAATATTGATGCATTTTTAAGATAACTATTAATAGTAAATTTTCTTATTAAAATAAATAAACTCCTCATAATAAATAAATAGACTATTATTCCTCATGTTTCAATGTCAATGCATAAGGAGGTTAAACTAGATGATGGGGGTGAAAACAGATTAACCAATTCCAAACAATCCTACTAAGACAAAAGAAGGTCGTCAACTACATCACGACCCATGAAGGTCAAATCAACGCTAACCGATTTCATTTAAAAAATATTTACAGTACTTTCTTTTTACACTAAATAAAACTCACTCGTTGAATGACCAATGGAAAACCAATGTCCTTTCCTCCATGCAGTCTGAATCCCCATGGGGTGGACGGTGCATCCCTGTTGAGGTTGACATCAATAATCCCGGAACACATTTTCGCCAATCAACAAGTTTACAAACTATTTCTAAATTAATTCTAAACAACACACTCGTTCGAATTCTTAATTTGCATTGGATAAAGTACCCGGCTCGAACGACCGAGCCGTCGGTACTGTCGAATAAGCCACCGACACCACAAAAACCGACTTTCGTCCTACGCGGTTAATTTAAGGTTTGCGTCAGCGATTTTCAGGAGGTGTTCGCTCGCTGTGAGGACGTTCCAAAAAATGAAAAACGAGGCGGACCCCCCTTTTTGGAATGTTTCTCATTCTCTAACAACCTGAAGAAAGGAATCTTTTTCCATGTGGTCCGCAGAAATGAAAGATTCGAAGGAACAATTGATGTTTCACCTGAAGTTTGGAATGAAAAGGGCATTTAGGGAAAGGTGTAATTAAGATAAGTTGGAAGAATTTACAAGGCAAATCCTGTTGAGATATCGGTAAAAGTTGGCATTTGGACAAATTTTGTATTTATAGACATAGAAAGAGGGAGTTCTGTTGTTTAACTTGGAGCTAACAGACAGTTGATTCATCGTGTTATATATAATGAGAGATTGTATGGTGTTATAAGTCTTAATATATATGAACTTGGAGTAAAAAATGATACAAAAACACTGTTTGTTTGTTGTGTCAATAAAACTTCAGCCTGTCTGCTATAAATTTTCCAATTTAAAGAAAAATTGTCGAAGTAATTAAATCATACATTGTAAGTAATATCGAAGCGTATTGAGCTACACTATTTTTTAGACATATTACAGCAGTGGTTACCAACTGGTGGCCTGCGAAGCCTTTTTTGTGGCCCGCGAACTTAAATATTTTAGTTGTAATTTTTTTGTGGACAATTTTCATAAAAAATCTATATGGGTTTAAAATACTTTTTTTTCGTTAAAAAAAAACCTAATTTCTTCGTTTCTGTGAAATTTAACTTACTAACTGTGCAAAAAAATTTATTTCTCAGGTTTTGAATCCAAGAAAGTCTTTATACAAATACAAAAATGATCGTGTATGTTGCTCTTTTTTTCCTTTTTTTTTGTATTTGTATATATAATTTAGTATATTCGCATTAGAAATTTTCTCGAAGAAATTCTCCGATCTAACTTTCTGAAACCCCTCATTTTGGACGAAATTATTTACATCTGTAAATTTAAAATTTAAAATGTAAATTTCTATTCTCTGGTGGTTGCGGCAGACAAACCTCAATTCTCTCATTGAACATTTTGTGTGCTACTATGTAAGTTTTAACACCAACCTTTTTAAAGTTTTATATCTTAACAATTAGATATCTGTTGCACATTAATTGCTTAATACATAGGTGCACATTAAAGTTGTTGTAGGCAGAATTTTTTAATATGTAATTAAATATTTTTAAAAATCTACTTCTTATTTTAATTTGTAATTCAATACTTTTGTTTTGTACAACTGGATGAAAATATGACAGTAATATTTAATGTTCCTTCAAACATAAAAAAGAGACCTATATAAAAGTTTGATAAAGTTGCGGCCCTCCATTTGGCTGGTGTTTTAATCGTGCCCCCCGGCCACATGTAAGTTGGAAACTCCTGTATTACAATATTAACATGGAGTGAAATTGTCTCAAATTTTTGTACTTCTTAATTTTGCACTTCCCTTTTTAAAAGAACATGGAGTAAACTGCTTGAACCATTCATTTCTATCTTATTTTAAAAATAGGGCAAGTTCGGTTTATTTCTGCTGCCTAGATGACTTGAAAACTATGAATTACAAAATGCACATTTTGGCGACTATTCAAATAAGGACTTCATATGATGTTCATGGCTAGGACCATTTTAAAACTCAGATATTTTTTAAAGATATTATATTATTGAATTTTGCATTCGGAATTGCCACCGATTCTTTTTTTTTTTAATCTAGGCAAAATTCATTTCTAAATTTAGATTATAAAATTAAGTTATAATTATTATTTATATGGTAACACTAAAACAAAAATATACTTAAACTTGAAATGTTCTCAATATTGGTAAATTTTATTAGGTCATAACCAAAATAAAGTTTCATCAAACTAGCTAATTTCAAAGAGAATTTTGAAGAAATGAATGGATTAGGGTAAACATAGTGGTAAGCCACACTGTACTTCAGGTGTTCATTTTTACATCAGAAATTTCCTTAGTATTGTTTCCGAAGACATACTTTACGTGTTTCCAAAATTTTAGCTAGACAGCTGCACAATATACAGAATTATCCAACTTTCCATCCAGAAATCATGGTATTTTTTATCAAAAATGCTTTTTATATTCAGCGGAATAATTTGGAAGTATGGTTTAACTTAAGCTTCTGCCTATTGGCAGATTCGGTTAAATATATCAGTTACAAGTGAAAGAGAGCTGAGGTTGGGAATTCGAACTTTACATCCGACTTAATATCCGGTATACAAACACAACAATGGGAACGTTGAATTTGTCGTGGCTTTAAGTCTTGTCGGTTGTGGAGGAAAGTTGGGAAAAGTAGGGTTATCAGCTCGGGTGTTGTCTACGTCTTTTAAATGGGATCAAAATTACAAGGGACTTATATTAAGGCCTTTGAAAGATCGAGTCCTGAAAAACGGGCACAGATATCAGGCAATGTGTTATTACTTAATATTTTTTCACGTAAGCCACTGAATTTCAAATACTTCATCTCAAAATTCAAAGATTCTTTCATTTTAAATATTTTTGAAAACTGCGCAAAATGATTCATGGTGCATTTATTATAGTATAGCTTTAGAAAGATTTTACTGAGAATATACTTTGTTGTTTTGGTAGTTTTATTAATTATCATTAATCATTGAATGTTAACATACTTTGTGTTGAATGCATAATTTTGCTAAAGAATACAAAAGGAAACGTTTATATTATATCATAAAATTATTATTAATTAGATATTGTACATATATTTTAGTTATATATTGAAATAATTTTATTTAAATATTTTAATTCTATTGCATAACATAAAATTCCTTATGTGCGGTATATTGTTGTTGTTGTTGTAGTTCATTTACCTCACATTAGAGCTGCACAATGGGCTATTGGCGACGGTCTGGAAAACATCCCTGAGGATGATCCAAAGAAATGCCATCACAATTTTCATCCTTTGCAGAGGGGATGGCACCCCCGCTTCGGTAGCCCGACAACCTGCACGCGAAGTCAAGCACTTTACGGTAGAACAGTTTAACGAGGACCAATACCGCACACCCTCGGTCCCTAAAAATTGGGAAATAGTATTACATGATACTATTAGTGGGCACTGTATAAAGTTTTATAACTCTCTCTGGACTGTGCTGTACAACTATGGTGAATAGAGCATCCTACTATGAGCCCGGAGGTCCTTGATTCGAATCCTGCCACGAGCCAACGAACATCTCTCACAAATTTTTCCCTCCGGATCACTTATGAGAGAAATTGGGAAATAATATTACATGATACTATTAGTGGTCACTGTATAAAGTTTTAAAACTCTCTCTGGACTGTGTTGTAAAACTATGGTGGATAGAGCATCCTACTATGAGCCCGGAGGTCCTTGATTCGAATCCTGCCACGAGCCAACGAACATCTCTCACAAATTTTTCCCTCCGGATCACTTATGAGAGAAATTGGGAAATAATATTACATGATACTATTAGTGGTCACTGTATAAAGTTTTAAAACTCTCTCTGGACTGTGTTGTAAAACTATGGTGGATAGAGCATCCTACTATGAGCCCGGAGGTCCTTGATTCGAATCCTGCCACGAGCCAACGAACATCTCTCACAAATTTTTCCCTCCGGATCACTTATGAGAGAAATTGGGAAATAATATTACATGATACTATTAGTGGTCACTGTATAAAGTTTTAAAACTCTCTCTGGACTGTGTTGTAAAACTATGGTGGATAGAGCATCCTACTATGAGCCCGGAGGTCCTTGATTCGAATCCTGCCACGAGCCAACGAACATCTCTCACAAATTTTTCCCTCCGGATCACTTATGAGAGAAATTGGGAAATAATATTACATGATACTATTAGTGGTCACTGTATAAAGTTTTAAAACTCTCTCTGGACTGTGTTGTAAAACTATGGTGGATAGAGCATCCTACTATGAGCCCGGAGGTCCTTGATTCGAATCCTGCCACGAGCCAACGAACATCTCTCACAAATTTTTCCCTCCGGATCACTTATGAGAGAAATTGGGAAATAATATTACATGATACTATTAGTGGTCACTGTATAAAGTTTTAAAACTCTCTCTGGACTGTGTTGTAAAACTATGGTGGATAGAGCATCCTACTATGAGCCCGGAGGTCCTTGATTCGAATCCTGCCACGAGCCAACGAACATCTCTCACAAATTTTTCCCTCCGGATCACTTATGAGAGAAATTGGGAAATAATATTACATGATACTATTAGTGGTCACTGTATAAAGTTTTAAAACTCTCTCTGGACTGTGTTGTAAAACTATGGTGGATAGAGCATCCTACTATGAGCCCGGAGGTCCTTGATTCGAATCCTGCCACGAGCCAACGAACATCTCTCACAAATTTTTCCCTCCGGATCACTTATGAGAGAAATTGGGAAATAATATTACATGATACTATTAGTGGTCACTGTATAAAGTTTTAAAACTCTCTCTGGACTGTGTTGTAAAACTATGGTGGATAGAGCATCCTACTATGAGCCCGGAGGTCCTTGATTCGAATCCTGCCACGAGCCAACGAACATCTCTCACAAATTTTTCCCTCCGGATCACTTATGAGAGAAATTGGGAAATAATATTACATGATACTATTAGTGGTCACTGTATAAAGTTTTAAAACTCTCTCTGGACTGTGTTGTAAAACTATGGTGGATAGAGCATCCTACTATGAGCCCGGAGGTCCTTGATTCGAATCCTGCCACGAGCCAACGAACATCTCTCACAAATTTTTCCCTCCGGATCACTTATGAGAGAAATTGGGAAATAATATTACATGATACTATTAGTGGTCACTGTATAAAGTTTTAAAACTCTCTCTGGACTGTGTTGTAAAACTATGGTGGATAGAGCATCCTACTATGAGCCCGGAGGTCCTTGATTCGAATCCTGCCACGAGCCAACGAACATCTCTCACAAATTTTTCCCTCCGGATCACTTATGAGAGAAATTGGGAAATAATATTACATGATACTATTAGTGGTCACTGTATAAAGTTTTAAAACTCTCTCTGGACTGTGTTGTAAAACTATGGTGGATAGAGCATCCTACTATGAGCCCGGAGGTCCTTGATTCGAATCCTGCCACGAGCCAACGAACATCTCTCACAAATTTTTCCCTCCGGATCACTTATGAGAGAAATTGGGAAATAATATTACATGATACTANATGAGCCCGGAGT